CGGCCACCGAGGCTGTGACCACCAGGGGTGTCCTCCTCGAGCTCAGGTGCCTCAGCTGCCCGTCGGTCAGCCTGTGCATGGTGACCGTGCAGAGGTACTGGCCTGCGGAGACAGGGGCGTCCTGCTTGTCCCTGTCCCCCGCCTGCGCTGACGCCCCGCCCTGTCCCTGACTCTCCTGCGGGTGCGGCGGTGGCTGGAGGCCAGCCTCCTGTGGGCACAGGAGTGACAGAGGCCAGGCCCTGGTGGCATCGCGCAGAACGGACTCCCGGGAGGCCCCTGAGCCAGGCCACGACCACCGGGCAGCCCAAGGCGGTGGGCAGAGCCCCTCAGCCCTGGCTCACCCAGTGTGACGTCGAAGTCCGGCTCGGCCGAGAACACGTCTGTCACCGGGAGGTCGAAGACGTCCTGCTGGAACCGAAGATGGCAGCCGAGGAGGGCCTCGGGGCCCAGAGCCGGGATGGCCACCCTCTGGGCAGCGGAGCACTCGCCTGTGGACGGGCGGGGTCAGGAGGCCTGGCCAGCGGCCACCACACCCGGCCACCCAAGGCAAGGGACGGGTGGGCCCCAGGGAGGCGAAGGTGTCGGCCAGGAGCAGAGTGTCCCCTGGGTGGGAACAGCTGGCCGGGCGCAGCTCAGAGGCAGAGCACCTGCCCAGCCGTGGGGTCCTGGGCTCTGGGTGGCCTCTGGGCTCAGGGACACCGGGAGCCACCTCCCCGCGGCACGGACCTCTCAGGTTAGAGCTTCTGTCTCCCACGGTGACGGTCACTCTGGAGGCTGTGGCCCCCTGGAAGCTGGCCTGGGCCGTGTGGACACGCCGGGCCACGATCCTCTGGGGGACACTGACCACGATCTGTGGAGGGCGAGGCAGCCGGTGAGGAGCTGCCCGCTGGCCGTCCATGCTGGGCCCCCGTGACCCCTCCTGAGCCTGCGGCCTGCGGACACCCGGCCCCAGGTGACAACAGGACCAAGGCCTGTCCACCCGGCCAGCACAGCGTACACTCAGTCCGCTGGACCTCATGACCCGGCCTGCGCCCCTCTCGACCTCATGGCACCTGTGACACCCAGATGACACACCAGTCAGGAGCTCCTGACCTGACCTTGCAGCCAAGAGGACCCACTTTAGTCTCCTGTCCTTTACTCGGAGTCATCAACCCCCACTGCAGGCCACAGGCGGAGGCCACACTGACCCCAGAGCCCAGGCACTGCCTCCTTCCAGGTCCCCAGGGGCCAGCTGGACAGGGCTGACCACCACAGCCCCAGACAGCACTCCTGGCCCTGGCTCTGCCCCAGTCCGTGTCCCACTTGATGCCTGTGGCTGGGCCTCGTCCCCAGCCCTGCGCCCAGCCCCCGTGTCCTGCCCACCCTCGGGGACACAGGAGGCCCAGGTTTCCTGACAGCCCCACGTGGAGACGCGACCCCCACCTGGACCCCCTGGGACCCCCACTGTGCTGCCCACCCCCTGCCCCGGCTCCCCTCAGGAAGGGCCGTGGGCGCCTGGTCAGCCACGTGGACGGGGTCACCCCAGCCCTGCTCCCTGAGGCCACCTGCGCTCAGCCGCGGGACCAGCTGCCCAGACCTGACGCCTCTAGGATCTGACCAGAGACCGGCCAGGCCCAGGACGTGCAGCCCTCCTTCCAGCGGCCACCCAGGGCCCTGCGCCCCGGGACCTGCCTGCCCCCCACCACGGCTGGGCCCTTCCAGGAGGCAGGACACGCCCGGAGCACGGCACTGATATGCCACCGGGGTCCACGCTGACCCGTCCTCAGCCAGAAACACGGAGCCAAAGGGTTGCTGCCTCCAGAAGGCTCCAAAGGTGACCTGGTGGCTTCGATCTGTTGGTGACGTCACATCATTGAGCTTCCCTCGGGAACCACTGGTGGCTGCTGGGCCCTGGTGCACGGGTGCTGGCACCAACCCATGCGGTCACCTCCCGTCCCCTCCCTGCTCTAACACGGGGAGACGGAGGCTTGGGGACCACGGAGGCTTGGGGACTGTGGAGGCTTGGGGACCGTGGGAAGCTGTTTCCACCTCAGAGTCCAGGCGGCTGACCCAGCCTGTGGCACCCAGACCCTGCCTGCCGCAGACGGCTCAGGTGGCCTCAGGCAGCTCAGGTGGCCTTGGTGGCCTCGGTGGCCTCAGGCAGCTCAGGTGGCCTCGGTGACTCAGGCGGCCTCGGTGGCCTGCGCGTCTTTCTCAGATTCCCCTGAGAGGAGCGGCCTCTGGGGAGGAGGCCCGGGGGGCTTGTCCCCCCTGAACAGCACAGCATGGTCACAGGGCACACAGTGCTTCCCTGCTGTCACCAGCCACCCAGGGACGACTCAGAGTGGACGCAGGGCCGCACAGGCCACAGGTCACACTGTGCCGGAGCACGTGAGGGGCCTGACTGAGCACCTGCAGGTTTGGGGACCCAGGTCCTGGCCGACCCCTGGACACACGGTACTGGTTTAAAGGACAGGCGTTCCCAGCCACAGGCCAGGGCGCCGCTGCCCGCGGAGGGTGGGCCAGGCCCGGCGCCCACTGCCCTACCTCCTTTTAGGTCCTCAGGTGCCCGGAGACCTCGTAGTGCACCGTCACGGACCCCGCGTCCCGGGCCACGGCCACCCCCGTCTTGGGGTCGACCTGGAGGATGCTGTCGGCTGAAGAGCTCCAGGTTCCTGGGGCACCTGGGAGGAGAGGCCCCATGTCACCCGTCCCCCCCCCCACAGAGGACCGGCCGCCCATGACCTCTTCCTGACCCCTGCCCACGAGGGGCCTTGTGGTTCAGCCTCCCTGCCCGCCTCCGTGGCCACGTCCTGGTGGCCCCTTCTGGCACACCTGCTCTGTGGACTGTGGCTGCCCAGCAGACCGTCCCCAGGGGTGCCGTCACCAGGGGAACTGTCCCCAGGGCCACCCTCCCCAGGCGCCCACTAGGGAGTGGCCCTGCTACCAGGCAGGTACATCTCCAAAGCCAACATGGCCTATGTGGCCCTCTGGTGGCCTTCCTGACCCCTTCAGGGCACCCCAGGGTCCCCCTCCCACCCTGGCAGGCGCGGTGACCCCGAGACCGCCCTGGTTGGCTCTCTCACCCTTGGGGCCCATGAGCGCAGTGGCCAGGCAGAGGACATCCCCGACCACCACGGTGCCGGGCAGCTCTGGAGCGATGGCCGGCAGGACGGGCAGCGGCACGTAGTCGGAGAGGCCGGGGTGCTCGGGGTCCCACACGCGCAGCAGCATCAGGCCCACGCTGACCGTGCGCAGTACGCAGATGTTGGTGGTGCCCTTGGTGACCTGCACGAAGTCCTCTCTGGGGACAGGGAGGCGCTCAGCTGGAGGGAGTCCCAGGGCTTCGCAGGCCTCCTCACGCCTTGCAGGACAGAGGCCACAGCCCCTGGCCACCCAGGGCCAGCACCGCCACCCCACACCCAGAAGGGAAGCCGCGGCCAGGAGGAGAGTGACCCCCAGAGAAGGCCTCTGCTGTGGGACAGCCTCGCCACGTCCCCTCTGTGCACCGGTGACACTGTGCCTGCCACGTGGCGTGAC